ATCAGTTGCACATTTGCAACGCGACTTTCATGAAGCGCGCCAACGGTGATACTGACAAAAATCATCTACATTCATATCTTTTAAATTATCAACCCAGCTAGGTAATTTACAACAGTCGGTATCGTAACATTTATAAAAAATTTGATCTTGCCTGTAAACTGGCGTGCATCATGTAACAAACTGTTATTTGAGAATAAATTATTACTATTATTTATGTAATAATCGGAAGTATTTGGATTATAGTCTGAACTAAGAATCCCAGAAATAACGTAATCGGATCAAAAAGTATTAGATAACCACAAACGGATGTACTGTATTTAGAATTCGAAATCAAGCATGCAACAAGTACAGAGGTATCATTAGTTCACCCAAACACCACATCCGCCACGGCTTAAATTGGATTCTAGGTGTCTGTAATCAGTTGTGCGTCTTATTCTCAAGTTCATCCTGTGTCTTATAATAGATCACGTGAAACTGAGTTTGTTCACAATTTAATCAAGTCATTTTATTAACTTATTAACGAACTGAGTCATCCTAACAACAAATTATCTATATCATTGTATCTTCATTACTATTGCGAATGTATGAACATGTATACCTGAATATTGCTTACGGCTCACGCATTTATTCACTATTCTAGTATTACTACTAACCGCTTATTTGATTCGATGACTCACTCATTTCACTATGTATATATATATATACATGTTATTCATATTCATTGCCCTCTCGCTCGCTTAATTGTACTCGCGTACTCGTATTCATATTCCCTGACTCTCTCGCTTGCTTGCTTGCTTTTCGGCACAACTCTTCTGTGCTTGTTTAACGCATCTGTAATTTTGGATATCTGTGTGTTTGGTCCCGTAATAAACGAAATCAACGCTTCGTATTCGCCTTCTGATTAATATACCGTTGGGGCGTTATATAGGACGGTTACCAAGACGAACTGTATACGAGGTTTAAGGATTACATCGAATACCGACCATCACAGTCTGTCCGACATTGTATTGGACAAAGACTCTGTTATATAGAATGCACTCATTAGTACTAGAATTAACAACCGAAATCCGAACGGACTCACCTGCTTCCTGGGATTGTGTAATCAGCATGTCGGTTGTGTACTGCAACCGCTGCTACTTAGAGTTTGAACAATAGACTTTTAGATTATCCTCCCCCACGAAATAGTTTTGGATCTTTATATCTCCAAGTTAGGAATGATGTGGCTTCATTTAAAACATACTTCTCACATTGGATAGAGTAAACTTTAGAAGTGATTTTGTGATACGAATAAACAGCAGTTGATATGAAATCACCCGAACTTTAATCAAACTGGAGCTCATTCAGTACTTGTGCTTCGCATTGAACAAGTTCCCCACAAGAAACAAATGCATTGTGAGGACAAATAATATTTGGTATGACATCAAGCTTTGACTCTTGTGAAATAGTTTCCTCAAATTTATTAAGAATGTCATTGCAGAGTAAATGATCATCAGAAAAATATGCATCTATCAAAACTACACCAGGTTTTCGATCATGACTAGGTTCACGCAACACATTTTTCCCAGATTTGTAAGGAATTTCATCAGAAATAAGTGAACCATCAGGAAAAACCATATCTGGTACAATAACATGAGAAATCTGATAAGTTGATTGATTAGAAACTGTTGTCTTGCAAGGATTCTGAGTTTCATTTAACTCTGAACTGCTATATGACTCTACACTGTCTTTTGAAATCGTTGATAAAGATAAATGATCATTATAAACGCTCAACTTAATAGAATCAGAATTACAAGACTTAATATTCGTTGCAGCAAGATGAACAGTAGTATTACAAACTGACTGAATACGTCCAATATCACCACATTTAAAGCACTTAGAATTACGAAATTTACATGAATTAAGACAGTGGAACTTGCCATAGGACAAACATTGACCAAACTTGTGCCCATCCTCGCGAACTGCATCGAAACTCCTCAATGAATTAACTGCATAGCCTTGAGTATGCACTGGGTTGGGATGACATAATGTAGTGGAATTATTTATATCCATGTGAATCATCTTGCGAAATCTTCCTCCTCCACGACATTCGAAATTTTTATACTTAACATAGTCTAGCAGTAGATCCTGGAGAGTTTTATAAAGAAGCGAGATAGGCTTTTCCGGCACAGCCAGAGTTTTTAATAAGCTATATGCTTCTTTTCCGATGAATGTGAGGAAATGTGCCACAATATCAACATCCTCAGCATCTTCTTTGGTCATAGCCTAGATTTCAAACCTTTCAAAGTAATCCTCAAAAGCACCAAGATCTGAATGTATATCCAACAGTTCCATCACAGGCTCCATTGCGACGCCAATGTGATAATTAGAAGTATTTAAATTATAGTATGAACTAAGAATCCCAGAAATAACGTAATCGGATCAAAAAGTATTAGATAACCACAAACGGATATACTGTATTTAGAATTCGAAATCAAGCATGCAACAAGTACAAAGGTATCATTGGTTCATTCAAGCACCACACTTAAGCAACTCGGAGGCAATGTTTTAACGCTCAGTTTTACTTTGTCCGATGTTATAACGGTTGGGTTTGCACATTTACACGTATGGGACGTTAATCTACCTTAGACGAATATCTACACTACATTCCTTCCCATTGTCTATTCTACAGGACGTCAACACAACTCAGATCAAGAACACGTGGTTAGCCTGACCACAGCGCAAATATTTTTCCACACCAAAAACCCGACACAAAGCAACAACAATGAACAATCAATAATAAGTGGGAGTGATAATAGTAAGGATAAGAGAATATATAACTCATCTGATACCTGTCAGACCATCTGCATGTATGACTAAGCAGACAACCAATCATTATCAATCTCACCCACACATCACCTATGATCTGAAATCTTACTCTAATTGCGACGAAAACACCTTTGACAAAACCTTGTACTGGTAACATTTAAGTGCATGTTTGGTCGGTTTGACGAAGAAACTTACCACTTATTCTTCACCATTTTTTTGGATCCCATCTAGAGTATCGAAATATCGTGTTTTTTCCTTACTCCAAAAGAATAAGAACACCCGGAACGTATTCAAAGGCAAGTCATGAAATCACATCAAGAACTCGAATTCATACCTTATGAAGAGCGCTTTAAATCGCTGAATCGTTACCCGTTGCAGCATAGGCATCTCACAGTTGATTGTTTTATGATTCATAGCATCCTGAACATCCCTGAACACCTCCTGTTCAAAACTTACGTTAGTTCAGTCCCAATACAAACCTTAGAGGTAGCACCCAGAAATCGGAGACACAACATAGAAGAATGAACTGTAGGAAAACCTTTTACTCTTTATGAGCATTCAAATTCTGAGATGGTTCAGGTGACTTCCTAGGAGTTCCTCAAGAGTATACTTGAAATATTCTAACGGACTCAGGACAGCACATCATTGTTCACTGATATTTCTCTTTTTATCGTCAGATATACCTAGGGTCTTGGCTGGAGGCATCAGCGAACTACTGCTACCAGATATGGACCCCCATCAGGCGAAAGCTTCTTCTGTTCCATCCAGAACCATTTGTACCATTCGAAACCTCAACAGCATGGTTTCAGGAAGGGTTACTCTTGTATAACCAACCTGCTGACTGCGGTGGACAGATGGACAAGCATTCTCGATCGCAAGGGAAAGGTTGATGTCATTTACCTTGATTTCTCAAAAGCTTTTGATAAGGTTAACCACTTGTGTCTTATCAACAAGCTCAAATGACTAGGTATCAAACCACCCCTAATCGATTGGCTTACTTCATACCTAAAAAATCGACACTTTAAGGTTAGGGTTAATTTCACTCTATCTCAGGCTATGGAATGTCCTAGTGGGGTCCCCCAGGGCTCAGTACTAGGGCCTCTTCTCTTCTTGATCTACATAAATGATCTTCCTCAACAGGTAACGTCAGACTTATTACTTTTTGCCGACGACGTGAAACTTTGGAGAGAGATACGCAACCAAGACAATACACAGGCACTTCAGGAGGATCTGACTCGACTTCAAAGTTGGGCAGACGATAACGGACTTACCTTTAACACTTCAAAGTGTAAAGTAGTCCATCTGCGACATGTTGCAAACTACAGTTACAACTTAGGAAACTCCTCTCTAGTAGTATCCCAAGTCGAAAAAGATTGAGGAGTCCTGGTGCCCCATGATTTAAAGTCTTACGCTAACTGTGACAAAATTGCCTTCCGAGCAAACCTTGCACTGGTAACGTTGAGGCGCATTTTGGCCAGTTTGGCGGAAGAACTTTCCACACAATCTTCAACAGCTTCATCCGTCCCCATTTAGAGTACGGAAACATAGTACTTCCCCCCTCACTCCAAAAGGATAAGGTCACTTTTGAGCGTATCCAACGGCGAGCCACGAAATCAGTTCGAGGACTCAAATCTAAGCCTTACGAAGAACGCCTCCGTTCACTAGACCTTTACTCATTAGAGTATAGGCGTCTTAGAGGTGATTTATTAATGGCTTATAGTATTCTTAACACTTCTGGACATCCTCTTAAACACCTACTTAAGCTTAGTTCGAATAATAACCTAAAGGGTAACACCCAGAAACTGGAAACACAACATAGCAAGACGGAATGTAGACACAACTTCTACTCCTTAAGAGTTGTCAAAGGCTGGAATTCGCTGCCGGCCGAGCTAGTCCAAGCGACTTCTCAGGAGTCCTTCAAGAGACAACTTGACCTATTCTTAAGGACCAAGGGCAGCATCACACTATGATTTACCAATTTCTTTTCCTCTTTTATTGTTAACATACCTAGGTTCCTGCCTGGAGGATTTGGTGATCCCCTGCTACTAGACACGGAAGCCTGTTAAGCGAAAGCTTCTTCTATTCCGTCCACAACCATTTGAACCATTTGAACCATTTGAAACTTATGGCTGTAACCTTGGAATTGAGGATTGAACAAAGTTAGGGAAGTTTCGAAGACATAGTTTATCCTAGTGATGGACTCAGGTTCGTCTTAAGATTATTTGATGTGATGGAATCCGTCTGAAGCAGTGCCGCCTATCGTGTTTTAAATGAGATTGCTATTGCCAAGTTTTCGAGCCAGAATAGCGTTAGATATTGTACTGGTAGCATTTTGCCAAATAGTTCAAACTTGAATTGGTTGCTGTGATATAATGCTGTAGATGTCATTCCATATGAGTGTGACATAAAATCTCAAAGGTTTCTTCTTTTAACCCTTCGTGATATACACCTAGGGTAGTTCGTGGTAGAATCCTTCGCGGTATGCTCAACCAGCTGCAAACCTTGATCGTTGATTTGGGCTGTTTCAGAGTCCCTTGACTCCTCCAAATCCCAAGTAATCAAATTTAAACTAGACTAAACTTGTTTTATTTGCAACTGTTGAAGTTATCGCTATCGAATCCAAAACGTGCACCATTTACTCATGTTTGACCATCCTTTCAATATTATCATTGCCATAATGTAGGTCAAAATAGAGCTTATGAGTCTACCCTTGATTACGGGAGAAGATCTTTCGCGTCTATGTTTTTACTTCTTGAGGCCTCATTCCATTACGTGACCCAACTTTCCATCAATAGGAGTTATAATCTCTTCACATCCTGTTTCCTCGTATAGATTGTCAATAGCTTATAGACTAGACACCCCATAGATTGTTATTTCTTTTTTTAAAATATGGGGTGTATTTTGTTTACGTATAGCGTTAGCTTGGATTAATGCTTCTTATTCGAACATATCATCAGTCGAAATCACAGTTGGTACTTCCCAAATCGGGGCTAGACTTGTAACATTACACGAAGTATATTTGATGCTGGGTTCGTTGTTGATTATGCTGAACTGCACTTTCACCTATTTATTCGTTTGTTCGTCTGATTCGTATATTTCTAGTTATAACCAAAATATGAAATTTTAATTGATATGTTGGTGTTTGGACTCAGAGAGCTTCGTAAATAAATATTTCTCAATTAAAATAAATACAGTTCAGTGAAGAAACTTTTCTTTTTGATGTCATTTACTAGAGCTAAACAACCGTATTCATAGTTATTTTACGCCTGGTGGTCTATAATACAATAGTGAATCGTCGCACTAGTTGCAAAAGCGCTTGAGATTGGTGAAAAGTATTTTTAAGTTGCATAATAGTCGGATGATAAACACAAAAATAGTGTGTGGAAGGGAGACAAAAGAAAATCACCCGTTTGGCGAATATAGAGAAGATAACGAAGCACTAATAACATAAAAAAGATTTGAAAAATCAGAAAGCTGTGTTAGGACCATGGCGAATTACCAACAAACACCTTAGTTATTAATTTCATCTACTCTTGAAGTATTATTCGGCCAGTCACTTTTGGCTTTAATCCATCTATTTTGGGCAGAACATTTTATTGAATGTAAAATGCCATTGTATCAATAATATATTCAGAAACTGAGCCTCGTATTGTACTGGTTTTAAAGTATTGGTATAAAATGTGCTAGTCATAAATAATGTTTAATATGATGTACGTCCTTTTTAGCGTTTTTTACGACTATTTTGAAGGAGTTCATATTTGCCATAAATACAAACTGGAGTACTCTGTTGAAACAAAAATGGCCCATTTCAGTTCCTCAGGCTTTGTGTATTCAAATATCGAGCCAACTCGTAGTCCTTTTAGTTCATTAACACAGGTCATCCAGCTGCCGGTTTATACATAGATTTCATACATTTTTTAGACTTTTTTTCTCATTAATGTTCCAATACACTGGAATTTACATTTGATTTAAAACAGTTACTTTGTTTTATCTGAGAAGTTTATATCTATCATTTTATGTACAGGAATTACAGATAATATTCGACGTCGGAAACGAAGAGAACTTACAGCAGGACAAAAACAAGAAATTGTTGAAGCATTTGACCTTTTTGATACAGATAAAGATCAACAGATCAGTTATTACGAATTCAAGGTATGATCGTAATATATATCATGATTTTCCTTACAGGTTGCACTTCGAGCACTTGGATTTGAGTTAAAAAAACAAGAGGTTCTAAAAACTTTGGAGGACTACAACATCAAAGAAGATTCTGGAAAACTACGATTTGAAGATTTCAATGAAATAGGTGAGCATGATATTTACTGAGTTATGGTGATTTATTCTACACTTCACTAAAGATAGTGAAATTATATTATGCTCAAATCCTTAATCATATATTTTCAGAAATCACTATTAATCCCTTATCTTTTGCTCAATGTTCCTAAAGATGATGATGTTACTGACTTAATTAATAATCCTATGAACGGCTTAAGTGACGGTGCAAGGATGTCGAGGATTCGTTCCTGTCATTCGGAATTCCAAATTATAGTCCAAACTGGTCTTTTATCCAGTCTGATTTTCAAGAATAAAGTAGGTAAACGCGTTAATCACTTTGCTTACTTTGGAAACTTCATCAAACCTGTCGAGTATGTTGACTAGGCATTGTATGGACCGTTTAAGCCAACACCATGTGTTACAAAAGTGTGTAAATTTTACTTAAAGCCAATCTTTTTTAATTCTACATCCATAAATCTGGATGCAGCAGTCGTCAAAAGCAAGAAAGAAGTACCTCTGTGCTTCTTAAATCAGAAATGCTATCTTATCCACAGATCAGCCCTCAGCATTAATACAACTCGTATGTTATTGATCATCGTATGGTATTTAAATACCTTATAAATGAATTTCACAAATAGTATAAAGTCCAGGATTACAGATTTAGATGCTTCCACTAATGACACTGGTATGTTAGTTAATTTATTGAAATTAATTATTAGATTAGATTTTGGCTTCTTAAAAAAAGTACATGAGTTAATCGAAATTTCACGTTTTTTAGACGCTTGTATTGAATTACATAGGTTTACAGATAAAACGTTCACCAAGTCACCCTTGTGTATTGGTCCATTTGTTTTTGCAATATATGATTATCGTCTTAGATAAATCCAAATTTATTCTATTAATTCTCCAGATAGTGAATACAAACTAACAAGGATTATTTGCAAATTAAGGAATTCCACATATAACAACTTTCAATACTTCCCTCTCAAATCTTCCAGTGGAATTAGGAATTGTATAACTGTGTTTGGAAACTTTGAGGTCTTTAATGTAGTTGTTAGTCATCAGCATTAGTGCATAAGTGTAGCGTTAAACCAATTCAGCCTATTTGGGAGATTTGAAACTTTTCCGTTAATTTAAAATAAAATAGATATGTATATCAGTCAGTCAGTCAGTCAGCTACAACGTAGGACCAGGTACATATGTGCATCGGTCCAGGTTGCCATACCGCATCAGCACAACAAGATGAACACCGGATTCATAGCAGTGGTTAGGTCAAAGGTAGTAATATGTAAGAGAAAGATTGCATATAGAGATATAGTACAAGAAGAAAGAATTGGTTCGTAGAAAGAAAGATATGAAGCGATTTTAGTCTCTTAGTTTAAGGGAAGACAGGGAGTGTATGCACCTACGCCATTGTGACCGATTCTGAGCCATGTCACCAAGAGCCTACAACCATTGGTTACGATAGTCACGCGGACCCCAACCAAGTAGTCTGCATCTACCAACATGGCTCAGACTAGAAGTTAGTGACTTCAGGCACTGATGCCACGTTTTGGTTTGGCCGCCCCTAACTTTCTTCCAACCATCTCCAATACCGGTTAGCATTGCACGTCGTGGTAATCGGTGTTCAGGCATACGTAACACGTGGCCCAACCATCTCAGTTGATGAAGATTCATAACCTCATCAACTGATTTACCATCATTCCCTAATACCCTGCGTCTAACCTCACTATTACTTACCCGGTGATCCCAGTAGACGCCAGCAATATTTCTAAGGCATCTGTGGTCAAATACTAATAGCTTACGAGCATCTTCTACTCTTAATGGCCACGTTTCGCTGTCGTAAATTAAAACAGAACGGACTGCCGCGCAGTATACTCGTCCTTTTATTGATAGACGGATATCTCGCCTTCGCCATAGGTGACGTAAGTTGGCAAAAGCCAATCGAGCTTTTCGAATCCGTGCTGAGATTTCGTCCGATACCAACCCATTAGGGCTGATCAGACTTCCAAGATAAGTGAAGTTGTCAACGCGTTCGACTACTTCACTCCCTATCCTTAGTTCAGGTGTTAACGCAGACCAGTCCTGAAGCAACAACTTGCATTTCGAGGGAGAGAAGCGCATTCCAAACATCCTGGCATTGTTGCTCAGTGCTACCAGAAGACTGCATTTTGTCAGCGTCTTCACCAAACAGGACTATGTCATCTGCGTATTCTAAGTCGATAAGTGGACCTCCTGGTAGGAGATCAATACCCGAGAACTCAGTCGACGAGAAAGTTATTTCCATCAGTAGATCTATGATGAAGTTAAACAAAAATGGGGAAAGTGGACAGCCTTGACGGACACCACTTGAGGTTGCAAAAGTAGATGACAGTTCGCCATAAGCTCTGACTCGACTAGTAGTGTTCGAGTAAAGAGCCTTTACAAGGTTTATGTACTTCTGGGGTACGCCTTTCAATGACAGACACTGCCACAGAATCTCGCGGTCTACCGAGTCAAATGCTGCTTTTAAGTCGAGAAAGACCACCATTGTCGGACGCCGATAAGTATGCCTGTGTTCTAAAATCTGACGAATGATGAATATGTGGTCGATGCAGCCACGACCAGGTCTAAAGCCAGCTTGGTTCTCTCGTGTTTGCAGTTCTCGAGTCTTAGTTAGGCGTCTGATAATTATCGAGGCTAGTATTTTAGATATTATATTAGTTAAACTAATCCCTCTGGGGTTGTCACAGGATGATTTTGACCCTTTCTTATATATTGGGACGATAAGTGATTGTGACCAGTTAGATGGAATAACGTCTAACTCCCAGATCTTAGCTAAAATATTAGTCAACCTAATCGCTAAAATTGGACCACCATCCTTAAAGACCTCTGGAGCCAATCCATCTGGACCAGCTGCCCTTCTTCGTTTCAGATTAACCATAGCCTTTTGAACTTCAGCAAGAGTTGGGGGACCTACTTCAATGTTCCATTCACACTGTCTGGGAATGGAGGGTAGTTGTAGAGTAGCTGAAGGCCAGCTGAACTGTTCTCTAAAATGTTCCGCCCATCGTTCTAAACGTCTGGACTGGGAGCAGATGAGAGTATCGTCTTTTTCCGATATAATCTCACTTACACTTGACTTATTAATTCCAGTTTCTTTTATTAGTCTGTAAAGCTGTCTTGTGTTCCCTATAGTCACCGCCTTTTCCATCTCTTTTGCTTTCGTTACCCACCACTGCTCACGGTCGTTTATTAGACTTTTTCTCAACCTAGATCTGATTTGTTGTCGCTCTTTATCGTGTTCGGAACCTGATGGGACGAGTTTGCGAGAATCCATCAGTGTGATAGACTTTGAAGAAATCCACTGGTTCTTTGAAACTGGTTTAAGTCGCTAATAGATGTCACTGCTGTTTCCACAGCTGCCTGTATTTCATTCCAAGCAACATCTGGGTCAGCCTCGTCTTCAGAACTACCTAATCGTGACCTCAGTTGTTCCTGGAACCTACTTTTGGTTTCCTCGCTACTCAGTTCGGTTCTAATGGGTCTTTTTACTGTGGCTTTTTTGCGTCCAGTGAGGCGCAAGCAGATGCGTGCCAGTATTAGGGCGTGGTCGGAGTCCAAGCAGGTACTCCAGAATGAGCGACAATCTTCTACCGACCCTCTCCAACGATGACTGATGGCAATATGGTCTATTTGAGTCCATCGTTGGTTTGGTGTAGAGGGTCGCCACGTTAGACGATGTCTCTCCTTATGCTTAAAATTTGTTTGCTAAAAATAAGCGATTGTCTGAACACAGTTGCAGCAGACGGTCACCATTATCTGTTCGCTGTGCCGGAATGCTAAAATATCCACATAAATGCCTTTCTGTTTGGTTTAAGCTACCTATCTGAGCATTAAAGTCACCCCCTATGAGTATTATGTCTGAGCGTTTAGCTTTCTGAAGAAGTTCAGAAAGCTTTCTGTAAAATTCATCTTTCACATCATCTGAGCTGCAGTCAGTGGGAGCGTAGGCAGAAACGACGAAAAGACAACGACGTGTGTCCCTATCCTTCCGCGTTCTCACAAAGCCATTTAGCCTAACAGCACATAGGTGATTGTTAACAAGGATCCATTCTAATTGTTTGTTTTGCCCTCATACCTAGTGCTATGCCTACACCCACCAGATCACGAGAACTAGCCATCGGGTAGCCAGATGCACGGAGGGTGTATCTCATCGGCTCTCTGTTTTGGCGAGGTGAGGTCAAGTGAATGACCACACTGGAATCCTGTATGCGTGTTTCGGAGACACAGCATACATCAATGGAAAGAGACTCTAGGGTTTTAGCCAAGGAGGCCTGCTGACCGATTTGACATAGAGTGCGTACGTTGAAAGCTCCAATGTGTAGTTTGGAGCGAGGTTTCAGTAGACCTGGGACAGAGTTTTGAGCACTAGAATCGTTGGCTATGGTGACACTTGAGGAGGAAGTTTAGGGTTGAAAGTCGATGTAGGAGGAATAATAGGAATTGAAGAGGAAGGTTGATTATGAATACAGTGGTCTCGAGTGCTGTTAGAGGTATGAGGGCGGTTATCACTTCCCGGTTGCCCACACCGTGGAAGGGTTCTTCTGGAGGTACCTGAAAAGGAAATTGGATTAGAGGCGGTCTCAGTGACCTGAGAGCGTGACCGCAGTGCCCAAGGGACAACTGCTTGAGGCCGGTCGCGCGCGGCCTTTTCGTGGGAGGTTTTTGACGTGTTAGCTCTGTTCTTCAAAGAGCCTTACCGCCGGAGACGGAAATCCGTGAGGTAAGGTGAGGTGTGCATTTTTAGGGTCGACCTTTTCTAACCCCACCCCTCCTTGTGGGAAGGCAGCATCGCTGTCATGCTGGTTGTCTGAAGGAAACACCTTACTGCTGTCACACCTCTGTACAGTCAGCAGTACGACTTCGCCTTCGGACCTTGGGTTTGTTGCTTTTAGTCTTACCGCTCTTCAACCGACCTGTCTGACATGGTAGGACCTTGAGGAACGGTTGTTCCAGCCAGTATAGCTCGGTTGCTTCATCACGATAGGCAAGCCCGACCACCACGTCAAGGTAGCAACAACGGTCGGGAGATATGTATATTCAGTCTCTCATTGAGTAGATTTAATTTCTTACATTTTGTATCTTCGTATACCTTCTTTGAAAAATGAATAAATTCAGGTTAACAAAAGTCCGAATGATAAAAAGAGCAAATCAGGCCAGAAATTCCATTTCATGCAGTTGGTCCGCCTTGCAAATCTAAACAATGCAAAAACGAAGACGTTTACAAAATACAATGGATTCATCGCTTTTAGTTACTCCCTACTCAGCCATTTGCAAGTTACTAGGTATAATCAGTTATAATAATAACGTACATGGAAACCAAGGAATAAATTATGCATCTGAAAAAAAGTCCGACTACCTATAAGCACTCCATCAAAACTTTGATCTAAACTACGTTACCATTTTAAATTCCAAACACTTTCGTTGCTACATCTATTAATATTTATTTAGGAGAATCCTATTCATTTTTATAGCTTCAACTCTCGGAATCCTAATACTTGTACATTGTGATTAAGTTTCACTACTTATCGGTTTGAGAAGTAGAAGTTAGTATTTTATCATTTTTATCTATGCCCCATCCTATTTGTCATTTTTCTTTCACATAGTTTATATATATATATATATAATTTTTTAGTGACAGATATGATTTTAGACAGGGATCCTGTCACGGAAATGGTACGAGCCTTCAAGCTGTTCGATGAAGATGATTCTGGAAAAATTACTTATCGTAACCTAAAAAAGATCTCCAAGTGAGTTTTATTCAACTAATCTTTCGCATGATTATTAACGTTTTATTTATCTTGTATTCATTATACCTAATCAGTTACTAATTGGAGTTTTGGGATATCATTAAGAATTACTTACACCTGTTACCCCTCGTGGAGGAACATAGGCCGCCCACCAGCATTCCCCATCGAACTCTGTCCTGAGCAACCCTTTCCTGTTTCTATTCATCCTTTTGATGTCTGCTTCCAATTCCCTGCGTAATGTGTCCTTTGGTTTTCTTCTTTTTATTTTCCCTTCAGGATTCTAAATCAGCACTTGCCTCGTGATGTAGTCTGATGATTTCCGCAATGTATATCTTATCCACTTTCATTGTCTTTTTCTAATTTCCTCTTCACCTGGAAGCTGGTTTGTTCTCTCCCACAGTAGGCTGCTGCTGATGGTATCCGGCGAACGGACATTGTGTATCTTACGTAGACAATTGTTTATAAACATTTGTGCACTTTTGATAATGGTTATAGTAGTTCTCCAAGTTTCAGCTCCATACAGTCAAGCTGTATTGATGTTTGCATTTAAATTTCTGACTTTGATGTTGATTAACAGTTGTTTTGAGTTCCATACGTTCTTCAACTGTAGGAATGTTGCCCTTGTTTTGCCAATCCTTGCCTTTACATCTACATCAGATCCCCCTTGTTCATCGATGATGCTGCCGAGGTACATGAAAGTTCCCACATCTTCCAGAGCTTGTCCATTAAGTGTGATTGGATCGGTGTTCTCTGGATTACTACTAATATTAATTGATCTAAGACTTCAATAAAATGCAATCAAGAAATCGGATTCAAAGTAGACAGAATAGGATTGTATTATATTACTGTAACAAATTAAAGCACAGCATAAAACATTTAATCATGCAAGAATTGTATTCTTTCTCTACACCACTGAATATTTATCATTGCCTTTTTAATAAATAAATAGTTATAAAGGGTAGGTCATAGGGCAAACTTTCCCTGCTTCATTCTAATCAACTCGAACTTACATTCAAATTCACTGGTTCAACTTTTCTTCAGCTTGATCTTGTAATTTTTCAAGACTTTAGTATCTACACGTTTTAGTGACCCTAAATCTGACTCCAGGTAGATCGTTATTGAAATAAACATGTCACCAATCCTTGCCGTAAATCGCGTTAATGGATAACGGAATTAAATAAGTCTAATACGAGAATGAATTTCGTATAAGTGTATTTCATACAATCGTTGTTCCAGAATCAACGATTGGAGAAGCAAAGCGGAGAGAAATGATGCGCGGTGAAGAAGGCGTGTGAGCCAACTCGATTCGATCAAGTGTTGATCGATATTTATTGTCAGATAAAATTAAGTTACAGACATGTGATTAATAGGGTAGGAAGTGAACACACATACGCTTATATAAAATCAGTCAGGGTTGATAAGCGAATAATTAACAAGGTCAAAACGTGACTCAAGACGAATGAATAAATTGGTCTGTCCGGAAGCTGGAATAATCTATGTGGGCTTAACATAGCAACCAATACTACAAGGTAACTGTCATGTTGTTGCATCAAAATATTAAAAAATAAATTTAAATCCAATTCATATAATCAGTTTCTATACATTAAGTTTCTTTGCTCACTTCGTCTTAAGTTAGTAAAAGTAGATTTATTTTGTTGTTGTTGATAAACCTTCGATGTTTAGGCAGTATGTAATTGCTCAAATAGTAATATTTTAGGCAAATCAACTTACAGAAGTCACAGTTTTATACATCTAATTAAGTAGATATCACATTAAACATTTATGGATGACAAATCGATGCTTTATATAGTAGGTGGTTTCTGCTCAAATATTTGGAGTTTCCTATTTAGAACAAACAAGTGTAATTACCCTTCAAGCCATCTTTGTAAATTAATAAAAGTCATTAATGATTTCTATTGTTTTTTTACTACTCGTAAGTAGTTAAAGTTAGTTCACTCGAATCTCTATGTCCATTTCTCCAGTTTTTTGATAATCAGTTACTTTATCATCCATTTTCTCCATAGTTCATCTTTTAGTATTCGTCTAAAAAGGTTGAATCATTTGTAAAGATTATTTTTATTCCTTGCCAACTATTAGCTGCTCTCTTTAATCATGAGTTATTCTTTGGAATACATCAAAAATTTTCATGTATTACTGTAAAATTGATTGTTTTTCATTAGTATGATCCATAAATTTGAATAAAATACATTTCATTATAAATTACCAGAATTAGATATTTATTTTTTCCATGGAATATCTAAAGGATCATTTTCTAAGGAAATGTACGGTCTTAACTATAAAATACTTAAATTAACAGATGTGACCTCATCTTTAATTAAGCTCTCAGCTTCGTCTTGTGATGTTCTTCTGGTAAGATCTATTACCATTCCGTAGTAATTCAACATCTAAACTGTTAACAGAAATATAACTCATTGAAAAATCATAGTAAAGAATCTTGAAATTATTGTAAATTACCGATTAACATCATTTAACTATCGTGCATTCATGTATTGAAACTGCTAACTCATTAGTCACGCATTTTATTTACAACCATTCGATCTCTTGAAGAGAGCACGAACAAATAATATATGTGGATTCATTTTACTTCGCGAGGTTTTTAGTAGCTGATAAGAAGTTTACGAAATGAAACGAATTCGTGTTACTCTGCTCAATTCTTTGTTCTTGCTCTCTTCAAGATAATAAAAGGAATTAGGTGTATGAATATTCGATCTCTTTTTAGATACCCTCTTTACCAACTCCTGCCTTAACATTCAGGTTTTATTCTCAAATATTCTAAACTAAATATAATCCGGAGAATTTAAATAAGTATTCCCGTACTTTATTTATTTAATACACATAAATACTGATACAAGTGGGCACCAAAATAAACATGAGCCACACAAATAAGAAAACAAAATTCTTGAGAGATATAGGATGGCGATGAAGTATTATCAGAAATAGGTGGATAAAAATAGGTGAACGAGAGTAGTATATAATGAAAGAAACCTTCCATTAGAAAACACGACCAGGAAGAATTTAAGTTAAGGGAGTTCCCTTCGTCTTTTTATGAATAATGCAGAAAACTACAATATCACTGGCTTCTGTTATGAGTCATATCCGGTAAAATATCAAAACACTGAGTTGGGCAATCTCTAGGACCGACGGATGACAGTTATACACGACTTATTTTCATATCGTGGAACCATGTCATAAGGTAACCAAATCTTCGGTTTCACTAGCAAATAATCCATGCTATGGCGTGACATACGTTTAACTAATATCAGATCATGATGAATATCATTTACAATTTGAATCTTCATAAACCATGCTGTTTCTTTTTACTTTCTATATTGTCTTCCTATATCTAGCAAGTGATTTCACTTAGCCCTAAACATTAACAATTAAATGGATCAGTTATAAATATATTTAAAACATTACATGTGGAACTATTTCACCAGGCTATTTATTTATTGATTTATTATTATTATTATCTCTTTTTAAAATTCTTGTGACTGACTTGCAATCCGCACAGGATGCACATATACCAAAAGTGATTGACCAATTGCAGTGCTAAGCATCACTGGGAACACTCAAACAACCAATACAAATGAATTATTAATGCTGTTTTTATACAAAGACTGAGTTGACATTCTGACTGGAACTTTTAGAAAGTATTATCATTATTTTGATATCACTGTTAGATTTTCCCCAACAAGAACATGATTAACAACAAGTTATTTAAATTTGTTTTGTATTATTTGTTTGGATCTTCCCATTGATGTTTAGGACTGCAGTTGATCAGTCTCTTATTGGTATATGTGCATCCTGTCCGGATTTCCTTAAATCACGAGAATTACAAGTAAAGATGGATAGTCGCTAGCAGTGGGATCCAGGACGCACGTTTCATCCTATTTGGAACTGCATCCCAGAGTTGATGTTCACTCCAGGACTCGCACCCAGTACCTAAACATCAATAGGAAGATTAAAATAAACAATACAATATGGATTTAAACTTCACCCTATTGCATAAGCTAGTGGCTATAGAACTCAGTAGCTAAATTGATAACGTGATGGTGTTTGAAGTTAATGGCACTGGGTTGGAGTCCCGGAGTGAACATCAACTCTGGGATGCAGGTACGTCCAACTGATGAGTCCCAAACAGTACGAAACATGCGTCCTGGATTCTACTGCTACCCACCATCCAACAGGTTCTCTAGTTTTATTATGATTTTCTAGATTGTCTATTAACAATTTCTTATAGGATTATAAGAAATTTTGATGTTATAGCCGTAAACATTCTTTTATAATTAAATAAAAACACGTACAGTTTTTAGTTTTTCATGAAGTTTTGAATGAAGAAATTACAAAATGTACGGAATAAAGTCCATTCAATGACTTGACATAATGTTCATATATTTATGTACCCGACTTGTTAGTGGTTCATACTACTTACCAACACATTGTTCACCTTTTTTTTGTTTGAAAAAAAGGCCATCTAAAGTGACCACATTTCAGATACTTTTAACAGTATGGTCGTTAAAACGGAAATATTTTTCAAAAAGTGCTGATCTATTTATTTGCTACTTTTTTCTCACAAGCGAAATAATTACCTTTTATAAAGGATTTCCAGTGTTTCGTGTATCTAGAAACTGTTCTTTATATGCTCACTCTATTACTTGCCTACAATTGTGGGTTGAAATTTCTTTTTGTGATATATTCATTTGAAAGCTTTATGAGCTCATTGGTTTGCATTAGTAGTTAAATGGATTTTAATTTAATGAACATTCAACATTTTAGAATTTCACTTGAATTGCTTCAAACTATCATACTTCATAACTGCATAGAAGTGAAAAGACATAAAAATAGCATTGAAGTGAGTTTAAAGGCGTAAAACAATTTATTCGTAAAGTGATTTTCAACATCTAGAAAAAAGTAATTGAACTCATGATCTTGATCCATTTTTAGCCATTTTTTTCATTATCTCTAACCCTCAATTTTTTCTTCATTTTCGGGCCCCTCTCAAGAAGTTACCACCTTCTTTGTATGAATTGATTTAACGCAAATTAACCTAATGGACTGCCTCCATTTCCTACTTTTTCTATCCACACTCTGTTCCAACCTATCTCGTTCATCTCACAGCCAGAAAAGTAGGTAGTGACTCAAAACGACCTAGTCTGTCTTCATAAATTTGTAACCTTATTGAGTAACTGACCTTTTTGTCTAAATTATTGGCTTCTTTATTTTGAAGCCGACCATTTAGTGGTCCATCACATACGGTTAATTCTGGAAATATATTTGTCATAGAACACCTTTCTGTCTACTCATATCTGCCATATCTCAGGAATGTAATGGATTTTGATCGTGCTTTTTGCTGTATAGATTAGCGAACCCCATGCAAATCTTTTGTATTCTTGATAAGACTTCAAATAAACAAAATGATCAGTACGTTAAAACATTCTACCCACCATTCTTATCCTGTCTGAAATTACAGACAGGTGCGAAACGCATAACAAGTATTCTCTGATTTTATTCAATATGCTTTGAAGATCCAATTTATTTAATATTATGAAGCACATTTGTTTGTTTTTATACATTACCCAACAAAATATTCGCTTTGCTTAAGTAGTTACTAGAAATTCTCACGATATCATCATTGTATTTGATGTGACTGTCAAAATTAGCATACTCATCTGATATCCTAGTTACACGTGACTGTAGATACTGATTAAGCTTAAGGCAGTTAGAATTAATTAGTTTATAAATTTTTGGTGGTGTATTACTATATTTACCAAGGCATTTTTTAAAAATTTTTTCAATTTCTCAGTTAAAACAATGTCAAAAAAAGATCTCTTTCTTATACTTACCTACCTATAATGATCATAAAATATTATATTTACTGATCAAACTTTCTCATTTATAAAGTTTATTACTAATCTATCCACTCCACTTGTGATAGGCAGAAGTCGAATTACACTTCATTCACTAAAAGTATACATTCTAAATCACCAGTTTATTTGCCTTTTCTCTGCTATGATACAGAATTTGTAGAGAATTAGTGAACTGTAAAATTTCTCGAATATCAAACTTTTTAATAATACCCCTAGGACTAACGTGTTACTATTTTTACATTTATCTAGTCAAATAATAGTAGTCTATTTGTCTATCATTTAATTTGATTTCACTCCAGACTATGGACATTTGATCAATGATATTAGTTTCTTTTTTTTGTCTAATTAATTTGATCCGTATTTACTTTTAAGGAAATAAATTGTCTATTTCATCATATGCTATAAAGAAAATTATTTTATGAAACCTTATTTAAGAAAACATTGTCAGTTAACTAATCAAAATACTTTATGAAATTATCAAGGACTAAATAATTTTATTGGAATATAAAAGTATAACTTTCAAATGTTTATGTTCAGTAATAAACTTTCTCTTAGACTCCAAAAAAATATAAACTTAAGGGTATTATCTGACAATCCGATAAAAGTTAATCTGTTTTGTTTTGTTTTGTATCCACCTTGACTTTGAAGTTTATTAGTTCACATAATTCATGAAGGTTTTCCAACTTTTCAAAGTAAAATTCTAAACTATTAATCCTTTATACTAAACCTTTTCATAATGTCTATAGTAAACTCCCACTTCCATATATCTACTTTGTTTGATATATAATGAAACTAGCTGAACTACTGATCTTTTCATTTGTCTGCTAAACTGGTAGCAAAGACTAATCTGAACTCTTTCTTAATTAATAGTTGTGATTGTTCGAAATAAGCAACATAAGGTTACAGATTTTTGTCATTATAATCCTGAAAGCTATAGTCACATGTAATAGGATATTTCAAAATTTTATGTTTAGTGTTATGTAAAGGAGTTTCAAGCACTCGATTATAAAACTTTGGATTGCAAGTTTAAGTAACACTCAATGTTACTCTAGATAGTTTAGAAGTCTTTGTAACTTCCCCATAAGTTTGGCTCAAAATGTACACGTACTCGTATTCACCTACTAAATTCAGTTACTACGTTTTTTATTAAACCTGTCGAATCACGTGCTTTATGCATATAGTGCAACCCACATTGTTACGTAACTAGCTTATGCAGAAAGGGGGATGAATAAAGTTCCAAAGAGTTCAAATAAAAATATGACAATTCGTAAAGTCTTTGATTGCTAGTCTGAGCAATTATAAATATTCTGATTGAAGTCAACTAAGCATAAGTCTTTATTTAATGATACATTCTATTCTGTCTGATGCACTAAATGCTTGCAACAGTAAATTTATAACAGATTTTTAAATTCCTGCAATCGTCGTCACTTTAACGTCGAATACGATAAAGGGGAAAAATAAGATAGCATTTTCATTCTCAAGGTTACCATATTTTGGATAAATCAAAAGAAATTTATAACATCCTCGGTAACCTTGGCACACTCCCGCGAGACCATAATTTATGGACAACTTGTCAGCGATGCCAAAGTAACCTTGAGAAAGTCCACCTACTAGAGTCTAAAGAAGATTATAAATTAGTGTGAGAAATCAGAACCGGGACTTAGAGTTAGAAGCTATGGTTAGGAATTAGAGGTAGGGTTTACGTCACGAAATAACGTCAACTATAGTACCAATATTCTATTTAGCCATATGGATGAATGAAGTTTGCACCAAAATATAAGACTCACTTTCTTAAATCTGATTAGTTTGTTCATAAATTATAGTCTCGCTGAAATTTCTGGGAAAAAATACTGATATTTGAGATAATCTGGTTACTTTCTTACTCAATTAGTTCACCGGTTGATTGAATAAAATTAGTAAGAGCTTTTCAACCTCTTGAGATTTTAAGGAACACTTGAAGATATCTCGTATTATATATCTTTTCACCATTTCATCATATAGAATTCACATCTTATTGTTCAGAATTTTCACACTCCTCCCCCTAACTTTTTTCATTTTGGTATATTCCTAATTACTGTTGGTTATTGTTGTTGTCGTCGATAGTGTAAGCGTATTTATATTTCGTGATAATCATTAGACTCTTGTATACCTTATGCTGTTTAACAGTTAAGAGCTTTTTGTCAAGTGTTACATTGTTTTCATATCTCAGTAATAATCATATCAAATAAAAAGTTTTCATTATGCTATAAACTGAAAGTAACAGCTATCCAAAGGACTAAAATAATTAGTTTTTGAAAGAAAAAGACATTTTTTGGTAAGATAAGATCACTGAGTTTGATTCCAGGATAGTTTAAAATGATTTCATTGTTTGATATTTCCTTGTTACTGTGTTGTATCATTTGGTTTCAGGCTTTTATGGAGAATATCTTCACATGTTCTATTTTTTTAGTCGGTTATTCATTTATCCTATTTTTGTTAATATGTTTCGACATAATCCATTAATAGATAAAAAATATATTTGTAATATCCCAATGAGTACAAAAATTAGATTTTCTGACGTTTCGTGACTTAGTGTAAGCCACTCCTTCAGATAGTAAATAAATAACCAAATCCTGGTTATTTATTTACTATCTGAAGGAGTGGCTTACACTAAGTCACGAAACGTCAGAAAATCTAATTTTTGTACTCATTGGGATATTACAAACATTTTATTTATTTATAACAATCTACCCAATGCTCAATTTATTCGAAATTATCAAGTCAAACCTTGTAATGATACCTATAATCCATTGATGAAATCGTTTCATACATCTTAAGAAATAAGTATCATATACTTTTCTTTATAATGTATATTAGGGGAAGAACTCACTGAATAAAATATCTAATACGTTGTTATGATTCGTTCAGTCTGATAAGCTGACTGATAAGATTGAGGTTTCCAAAATTGATAAGTTTCACTCACTTGAGTGATCTCCGAATCACAACCGCATGGATTTCAAAAGTCTGAGCATCTATCCAACTGATTATGTGTGTTAAGATATAGAAACTATTAGTCGTGTCATATGCTCAGTCGAAATGGTAAAACTGAGTCTGTTTGCAGATTAACTGTGGGACAAAATAGAGATCACAAATTAACCGATGATTCTTTCAATTTTATCTATCATTAGACTGTTGTTAGATAAAATCTTAATGTAACACTATCATGCCTATTTTCTCGAAGCACCTGGACTGATTGTTTTTGCAATATCTACCAAATAAAATTTATCTATAATATCTGAATCCATGCAATACTTTTTTGTTGATTAAGTTTTAATAGAACGATCAAATTAATATATTATGACAAAAAACCCAGATAACTTTGTAGTTGGGATGAAATAAAATAGTTGTTTCAAATCGATATGACGAATAGAAACGTGGTCTCATTAGTAGTTTACGCTTTCCATTTCTACCATTAATCGATTGCTTATTATCCGATAAGTCAACCCTACTGATTTGGTTAAATATTCTGTATGTAATTTCCTAATATATTTTTAATCCGTTGGAGAGTTATTCTGTTTTCGTAAACCTGTTCGTGTGGGAATTCGGAAAAGCTTTCGCAAAAAAAATTATCCATTTGGCAGCGTCAATCACTGGAATTTTACTAATCAATTATTTGCTCATAACACGAAGCTCTTAGGACAGTTTAGATTGCTGAATAAGTATTTGAGTACTTTTAACAAAATCATGATTATAATTTTACTATTCATTGTGGGTTGATACATCTGTTTCTTGTTTGTTTTCTCTTAGAGAACTTGGTGAAAATTTATCAGATCAGGAACTTCGTGCTATGATAGAGGAATTTGATCAAGACGGAGATGGTGCGCGTAAGTTTATAGCAGCTAGTTTATTTTGGTGCAGGTTAATTCTGTATACCTTCACTTTAAATAAAACACGCTTGTAGCAATGGTCTTTTATCAACTTATGATAATCACTTCAGTTTTTCAGGTTAATTTTGAGTGTTCCACTGTCACTAATTATTATTACTGTTATTATTGTGCTGTGTTTAAAATATTTGATGATTCGAGTGATAACGTATGAGGAATATTACGATCTTCAATTTGTACCGTACACCTCATCCTCTGGTTTTGACCTGAATCACTCAGAATTATTGTCTTCCATTGCTGTACGGACAGTTTTGGCTTACACCTTATAAGTAGAACTTCTTCAGAGTTGTCGGGTGTCTTTTGATTCATTCTCAATAATACTCATTCAATTGTTTTGTTCTGTTGATTCCAATCATCTTACAGCTATTTACATATTAAAATTAAAAGAAAGATAATGTCAAGTTTGAGTTTCATGACCACTTTACTCCATGATTCGATTAATGCACATGCTAAAAGAATCAATATTAATAAATTTCAGCATATTGTATACATCGTTTTAATTCCCTACTATTAAAAAGTTACAATAGCAATAAACATTGTTATTGCTTTTATTCTTACTACGCTATATGTAGAATGTTGAATACATTTCTGTCATTTCCGCTTTCTATATACTTTTTCTCATTCTCTTTTCATATATATTATTTCTATGACCGATACTATATATATACTTTAAAAGCATAATTCTATTGTGTATGCATTATTAGTTGGTCACCGGCATCTAATTAACGTTTCTCATGTTTCCAATAATAAGCATGCCATTTTTCATTACGTTTTGAATGCCTTATCATTATTGTCACTGGTGAATAACCATTCTATCACTATACATGTCCTACATTATTATAATTAATATGAATAATTTATTCTAGTTTCATATGTATATGTTTATAATTGTTGTTGATATCGTTACATCATTTATATGCTATAGCTCAACCAGTTTGTCTATATCCGTTATGTTTATAAATCTATCTCTTGCTTTTGCATGCATGAAAATATTGCCACTTCTTTAATATACAATAATTTCCTAGTTATTTTTCACATTTACATTTGATCTTTGTTTCTTACCTGGTTTGTTTAGTTAATATTTCTCCAGACACGATTTGACAATGTATCTCAATACATTTAAATATTCTATCCACATATTGTTTAACTAACGTAGAAAATTTTCATACTATTCTTTAATTTCTCTTCATTTCGCTTAGACAGAGGGAAACAAACAAAAGTGCTGAACTTGAAACATTATTCATCTCATATTTAATCGTCTTGTCCGTAAGCGAATAAGCTAATTTCAATTTTGAAACGTTGTAAGCGGAATTTCAGTATAGACCAATGAGACTCGTAGACGATTTGTAGACATGTGACATTTAAAAGTCGATATCAAATAAACATTCAGGGATGGTGTATGCGAACTATGTATTGGTTAAACATTCATTATCTAATATTTTGCAAGAAACAATCAATTTTTTAACTTATCATGACGAAACAATCTGTCTGGTTAACATACATTCTGTTTGACAGACACTTGTATCTCATTTTTTTAAGTTGTCGAATTTCGTCTTATCTGTTAAAGATTCAAACCTTGTAATACTGTCTGAATTTGGACAGCTAGATGGCCTGATATGTCTCGTCATGAATATGTACACATTATTAGTAATAACAATATACTAGACTGTTTGAATCCAGCTTGAACCCTAGTACCTGTTTATATATTTAACTTCTACTTCATTCGATGAATCACGAAATTTTTATCAAACCCATTTCTGTCGTTTGTTTATTTCTAAGTATATCCATTTCTTTTCTAATACAACTAACCAAATAGTTATCGGTCCGTTGGAAAATGTTGCTAGCTATTGACTGTAAATACAAGCGATGTTATCCTAAAGTACACATCATATTTTGTGTTATGGATTTGTTACATATTCTTAACAGTAATTCCTTATACCAGCAAGCCAAAACTCTACACATTTTCAGTGAAGAATTAAACATTTAGACTGCTCCCACTAACTTTGCTTTAAAAGATGATGTTTAGGTTTTTAAATGAAGTTATTCGGATGTCGTAAATCAATAGTTAAAGGTCCTACATGACTTAAATGTATATCATCTACAATGACGCAGTTGCATCCACTGCTTACATTTCTTTGAATTTGAATCGTCTAATTTTAGTTGCATAGGTTTATTGACAAATTGACTATATTCTCATCGTTTATTTTACCTTATTATTTTCTGTTTTTTGAATTTTTTTTAAAATGTTTTGATGAATAAAAATCTATTCATTTTTATACGTTTTCTGTTTTCCATCACCCTATTAGTCTACTACACTACTCAATCTTATTTAAGTACACCATTTATTGGAACCCCGCTGATGGATAGGCAGTATTAACAAAGTGGACATATTTGATTCAAAAACGAAGAGAATGGGTTTGCTGTTACAGTACTCGATTCTCAATTGACAGATCACGGGTTTGAACCTCATTTATCGACTCTTGTTTAGGCAGATAATTTATGTCACTTTTCCCTTACACAATTAATCTGGATTAAAGCAAACTTTTACTCGGTAAATGTGTGCAACTACTGTTCAATTGCACATTATATTAGTTTTAGTATTACTGACTTCTTGAATGGATAGTGAATGCTATTGATTTCTGAATGCAATAATTTTATTGCAGAAGTATTTATCCAATTATATTTTATCAAATACAAAAGCGTTATGATTTCTTTAGGTATCTATTAGTGATTCAATTTATTATATATGTATTTTGATGCTTCTTAAAACAATTCAATAAATTATCAAATTTACGTATACCACATTATTAATTCTTTCTACCATTTGACGTGAGCTTATATTTATAGCATATGTTTCGGTAGACAGAATGATCGATGTATTGATCTGTGTTTGAGAAGATCTATTTCTTCTAATTCAGAAACTACTCATTTAGTCCCCTGGAAAATTAAGCTATATTTTCAACCAATAGCATATGTCTGTTTCCTCAGAAAGCTAAACCAAATCTTAACCAACAACAAGTCCTCATTAACATATTTCACTTCTTATTTGGTCTATATGTGATTAACCTAGAGTATCATACATGGGATATGTATTCCAGTAAATTAATTGGCTGAAGAGAATAATCGTTTTTGTTGTTTTGATGGTGAATCATCTAAAACTTAAAGAATATTATGTAAATAGGTTGAAAATCAGGTCAACTTTATTTTCTCTTACATGTAAAAATTTATAAAAAGTATATCTTTCTATTTGGATAAATTTGTTAAGGATAAATTCTTTATGCACTTCATAAATACGATAGAAATTCAATCTTATTAGTTATTTCGTTATGTTCAGTGTCACTTTTGATTTGTTTTTTGTATTGTATTTGTGCAATATTCATAACCATATAATCTGATTTATGCTTTTTGTACATAAATGAAGTTTACTTCATTGTGAGGAAACTAAGTTGTTTTAGGAATTGCTTAATTATCTTTTTTGTCATTTCTATTTGATCGGAATAATTGCTATCATTAGTTAGCGGTTATTCGTGTGTATGTTATTATTCATATTTCTTATTTTTAAGGGGAGGACTGTGAGACCCCACCCCAGTGACAAAAACTACACTCCCGAGCGCACCCGATTAGGGTTCATCGCGAGTTCCAACCCACCAAGGTGCAATGGTGAACCTCCACCTGGTGTCAGAGCATCCTTGAACCCGGCGCTAGATATTAAGTATGTGAGGAATATACTAGTCTTGATTCGGAATGTAGGTACTTGCCACTTTTCTTAACTCCCCTATCCTGATTGTAACTGATTACTGATAGAAAATTTTCCATCTCTATAGTTTAAATTGTTTATCGTTTAATAATCCTAAAATATGTTGAATCTGTCTTATGAGTAATATACATTGTATTCAGTATTATCATATCAATTATTGTTGTCATTTATTCTCATACTTTCTTTCTTAGTTAATCTGGAAGAATTTATGGCGTTAATGACAAAGGAAATATAATTCACCAAATTGTTTATTGAATCAAACCAACAACTGTGTACTTAATTATCCCAGTTAAATACATATCATCATTCTTCTGAACTCAGTTTGATATGACCAGTATAGTTTGAATCTGCCTTCCTTTTGAATTTGATGCTGCTTTTTGTGTTTGTGAATGATCAGCTCCCGATATGGGTGGTGATTATTGTTGATGGCAGTTGATCTACACTAAAAAAGTACTTCATCTTATTTATTTCCTCTTATCGGACATCATCATCTATGTATATTATCATTCTGGTCAATTCTTTAAAATATTTCACAAATAATCTACATTCTTCTACTTTTATTGTTCACAGCTTTCTCACATCTGTGTGAAATTATATACGTATATAAATATCATGTCTAACGTAAAAGCAACAAGAAATGCTCTAAGTCATAGTTAAACATAATCTATACGAAAATATAGGTTTCATAACTTTTGACAACCTGATTTGATTGTCGCTGTAATCATCAAGTAAATACACTTGATTATTGTGTGATGTTATGTAATAAAATCAACTTTACATATCTTTTGTTAACGTGATAATCAGTTTTGATAATAACAATTGGAGAAATCCAGGACTTTGTCATTGTTTATCAGATTACATAATCCATTCGATAGAGTACTAACCTGTTAATGTGAGGATTGTTGGTATAAATATATTCACTTTTAACGCTCTCATCAATTGAATCGAATAATTAACCACGTAGCAGTAACCAATCCCTTGTCTAAACCTCAGCTATGAACATATCATACTAGTCGGTATCATAGCGCACTTTGTTTGATGTTAAGTATTTGAAGGTAATCAACAGAAAGTCAGCTACAACGTAGGACTAGGCACATATATACATCGGTCCAAGTTGCCACACCTCATTAGCGCAACAAGATAAACACCAAATTCATAGAAGTAGTCACTTCAGTGGTAGTAATGCATAAAAGAAAGATTGTATATATAGTGCAGGGAGAAAGAATTAGTTCGCAGAAAGAAAGACGTAAAGCAATTTTAATCTCACGGTTTAAGGGAAGACAAAGAGTGATCGATTCTGAGCCATGTCACCCAGAGCCTCCAACCATTGGTTACGGTAGTCACGCTGACCCCAACCAAGTAGTCTGCATTTACCAACATGGCTCAGACTAGGAGTTAGTGACTTCAAGGACTGGTGCCACTTTTTGGGTTGGCCACCCCTAACTTTCTTCCAACCATCTCCAACACTAGTCAGCATTGCGCGTCGTGGTAAACGGTGTTCAGGCATGCGTAAAACGTGACCCAACCATCTCAGTCGATGAAGATTCGCGACCTCATCAACTGATTTATCATCATTCCCTAATACTCTGCGCCTAACCTCACTATTACTTACCCGGTGATCCAAGCAGATAAGAGCAATATTTCTAAGACATCTTTGATCAAATGCTAGTAACTTACGAGTATCCTCTACCCTTCAACACCACGTTTCGCTGTCGTAAATTAAAACAGAACGAACTACTGTGCAGTATACTCATCCTTTAATTGATAGACGTATATCTCGCCCTTGACATAGGTGACGTGAGTTGACAAAAGCCAAACGAGTTTTCTGAGTCCGAGCTGAGATTTCATCAGACACCATCCCATTTGGGCTGATCAGATGTGTTCAATTACTTCACTTCCGATCCTTAGTTCAGGTGTTGATTCAGGTCAGTCCTGAAGCAACAACTTGCATTTAGAGTGGGAAGAACGCACACCAAACACCCTGGCATTGCTGGTCAGTGCTACTGAAGGACTCTGTATTTTATCAGCGTCTTCACGAAACAGGACTGTCATCTGTGTATTCCAAGTCCATAAGTGGACCTCTTGGTAGGTGATCGATTCCTGAAAGTTCAATCGACGAGAAAGTTATTTCCAGCAACAGGTCTGTGATGAAATTAAACAAAAACGGAGACAGTGAACAGTCTTATCGGACACCATTTGAGGTTGCAAAATCAGATGACAGTTCGCCATAAGCTCTGACTCGACTGATAGTGTTCGAGTAAAAAGCCCTGAGAAGATTTCTGACGTACACCTTTCCATACAGACTCTTCCACAGAACGTCTCGGTTTACAGAGTCAAATGCTGCTTTTAAGTCAAGATAAACTGTCATTGTTGGACGCCGATAAGCATGCCAGTGTTCTAAAACCTGACGAATGGTGAATATGTGGTCGATGCAACCACGATCAGGTCTGAAACCAGCCTGATTTTCTCGAGTTTGCAGTTCACGAGTCTTTGTTAGGCACCCGATAATTATTGTGGTTAGTATTTTAGATGCTATATTGGTCAAACTAATCCCTCTATGGCTATCACAGGCTGATTTTGGTCGTTTCTTATATATTGGGACAATCAGTGATTGCAACTATTTGAATGGGATTACATCCACTTCCCAGATTTTAGCTAAAATATTAGTCAACCTCATCGCTAAAATTGGACCCTCATACTTGTATACCTTTGGAGTTAATCCATCTGGACTAGCTGCACTTCCTCGTTTCAGATTAGCTATAGCTTTTCGAACTTCATTTAGAGTCGGGGGGCGTAATTCAATGTTCCATTCAAGCTGTTTGGGAATGGCGTGTAGTTGTAGAGTAGTTGAAGGTCAGCCGAACTGCTCCCTAAAGTATTCCGCCTATCGTTTTAAACGTCTAGACTGAGAGCAGATAAGTGTCGTCTTTTTCCCAGATATTGTCACTTGCACTTGACTTCTTTATTACAGTTTCTTTTATTAGTCTGAAAAGCTATCTTGAGTTACCTACAGCCACTGCCTTTTCTATCTCATTTGCTTTCGTTGCCCACCACTGCTCACGGTCATTCCGTAGACTTTTGGTTAACCTAGATCTGATTTGTTTTCTTTCTTCATCGTGTTCAGAGCCTGATAGGATGAGTTTACGAGAATCTATCAGTGCAATAGACTTAGTAGAAATCCATTGGTTTTTCTTAACCCTTTGGTTTAAATCACTAATAAATGTCACTACTGTTTCCACAGTTGTTTGTATATCTTTCCAAGCAACGCCTGGGCCAACCTCTTTTTCAGAACTACCTAAGTGTGACCTCAGTTGTTCCTGGAATCTACTTTCGACATCCTCGTCACTAAGAGCAACTCTAATACGTCTTCTTATTTTGGTTTTTCTGCGTCCAGCGAGGTGCAAGCAAATGCGTGCTCGTATTAGAGCTTGATCGGTGTTCAAGTAAGTATTCCAGAGTGAGCGACAATCTTCTATCGACCCTCTCCAACGACGACTGATGGCAATATGGTCTATTTGAGTCCATCGTTGGTTTGGTGCGTCGCCATGTTAGACGATGTCTCTCCTTATACTTAAAATTAGTGCTTGCTAAACATAAACGATTGTCTGAGCACAGTTGCAACAGACAATCACCACTATCTGTTTGCTGAACCGGAACACTATAATACCTAAATGTCCTTCTGTTTGGTTTAAGCTAACTACTTAAGCATTAAAGCCACCTGCTACGAGTACTATGTCTGAGCGTTTAGCTTTCTGAAGAAGTTCAGAGAGCTTTCTGTAAAATTCATCTTTCACATCATCTGAGCTGCAGTCAGTGGGAGCGTAGGTAGAAACGACGAAAAGACAACAACGTGTGGCCTTATCCTTCCGCGTTCTCACAAAGCCATTTAGCCTAACAGCACATAGGTGATTGTTAACAAGGATCCATTCTAATAGTGTTTGTTCTGCCCTCATACCTAGTGCTATGCCTACACCCACCAGATCACGAGAACTAGCCATCGGGTCGCCAGATGCACGGAGGGTGTATCTCATCGGCTCTCTGTTTTGGCGAGGTGAGGTCAAGTGAATGACCACACTGGAATCCTGTATGCGTGTTTCGGAGACACAGCATACATCAATGGTACGAGATTCTAGGGTTTTAGCCAAGGAGGCCTGCTGACCGATTTGACATAGGGCGTGTACGTTGAAGGCTCGAATGTGTAGTTTGAAGCGAGGTTTCAATAGACTTGTGGCAGTGTTTTGAGCACTAGAATAGTTGGCCATGGTGACACTTGAGGAGGAAGTCAAAATAGTTGAAAGTCGATGTAGGAGGAATAATAGGAATTGAAGAGGGAGGTTGATTATGAATACAGTTGTCTTGAGTACTGTTAGGGGTATGAGGGCGGTTATCACTTCCCGGTTGCCCACACCGTGTAAGGGTTCTTCTGGAGGTACCTGAAAAGGAAATTGGGTTAGAGGTGGTCTTAGCGACCTGAGAGCGTGACCCCAGTGCCCCTCTTACAACTGACGAAGTCGGTTACACACCACCTTTTTGTGAGTAATTCTCGTGTTTGCTCCATATTTGTTGAGACCTTACCACCGGAGGTCCGTGGGATAAGGCCAAGTGTGCATTTTTAGGTCCGACCTTTTCTAACCCCACCCTTCCTTCGTGGGAGGGCAACATCGCTGTCATGCTGATTGTCGGGGGGAAACACCTTGTTGCTGTCACACCTCTGTACAGTCAGCACTACGACTTCGCTCTCGGATCTTGGGCTTGCTGGTCTTAGTATTACCGCTTTTCAACCGACCTGTCTGACATGGTAGGACTATTAGGAACGATTATTCCAGCCAGTATAGCTCTGTTGGTTCATTATGACAGGCAAGCCCGACCACCATGTCAAGGTATCAGCAACGGTCGGGAATTAACAACATTCCCTTAATTTACTGTTTATTCTAGGTGACATGAGATAGCGAGATGTGCTCGAAAACTGGAGGGAAATACTGCTCTCTGTGGGATTCAAATTTACATCACCCAGTGATTGTTAACTATTTGGTTCATTGTAGCAGGTCATTCACATCCCGAACAGCTTTCTGGGTTTACCTCCAGCTATCTAACGTCAAGTGCTTATTAAAATATAGTAAAATATAATTTCATGTGAGCATTACTCTAAGCTAAGTGTTGCTAAGCTACTCAAACATATTAAAATGAATGTTTCCCAATTTCACCATAAATTAATCCTGATTCAAATGAACAAACTTACAACATGCTGTCGATCCACCAGCCTTTTTAACAAGACTTGGTTAAATAAATTAACAGTTTGGGAAACAAAACTGACGTTTCCTGTAAAACATTAGCACATTTGAACCCTCGTAACTTAAGAACTCCCAAGTAAAGGATAAGTGTTTCTCCAACAAGTAGCCAAGTTCAGAAATATATACAGAACACTTTTATTCGTTACTGAACGAACAATTAAAAACTAAATCGATACTAGTTACCAGTACGTCTCCCTTACCTAAGTGATAGACTTTCCAAATACAACCATCAGTGATGAGTGAATGT